TATAACTAAGTTATACATGATTCAATGAGTATGAAATTTTTACTACAGTTCAAGCATACAATAATTAGGCCAGCATAAAAATTTCACCACAATTCGAACATAGAAACTGCAGTTATGAATTATTCCAATTAATTACGGAAAAAATAGATCAAAATCTACAGGAAAAACTTTGTACTAAAGCATACCGTTTCATACCGTTACAGGAAAAACTTTGTTACTGTAGCAGCCGCCTTTCAAAATCGCCTGAGAGGTAATTTGACCGGTTTTGAAAAGTTCAGGTGGTAGAATATACCGTTTCATAGTTGGGGGTAAAACAATCCACCCCCATAGCTAGGGAGGGGGTGAAATAGACTTTTTCCTTTTCTTTCATGCAACCGCGTATGTTAGGAGGCTAGGCAGTTACACAAGAAACAATTCAGAGGTGGCGAGTAGTTCAGAGTAATCTGAAAGCCTCCTGTAGTCTGCATGTTTTACCATTTTCCTTGTTGCTAACATCAACAGCAGACCTTTCAACACCAATTGTGAGCTATAATTCTTTTGCCATCCCCATTTCAATGGCTTCACTAACAAGACGGCCAATTTCACGTATTCTGCATGTTTTGCCATTTCAAGGGAAACTAACAAGACGACTGATTTCACTCGAGCAATTGTTGGATAGGAAGAACATACCACCATGTTCCTGACTGCTTCAGTTACAAATGGCATTTGTTTACCAATTACCAGTGTGGTCATCCACTGTGAGGTCAGCGCACGGTTCATGAAGTAAGTCCTTGACATCTATGCTGAGCTGACTAAGAAACCAAGGGCAAGGGTGGTGTCTGTGTCTGCATCGTGTGGATCAGAGTATCAGACACCAGCCCTCACCGCTGCTCACAAGTTTGACCTTTTAATTTCCAAGATCGAGTAAATCATCATCGGTTAACCCGCTCATCGTGTCTGTAGGTTGCAAGATTATTCAGCCTGCTAATTTACAAGTCAGATTTATTTGCCGACAAAAAGATATTACATAAATGAGAACTGAGGTACTCATAAATATATCCCTCATCTATCTAAAACTAACTGGAAAACCCAATTAAACAGCCTCTGCATCTTATACGCTTTTTAGCATTGTTACTTGAGAGCGCAATTTGGCAGGTGTTCTGATGTTTCATTTTGTCGAGGTAAGAAAAACTACATTAGGGTGCCACGCTGTCCACGCCACGTCGGCCAAAACCTTGTTCCGATAAGTTATGGACCTAAGTGGCATACTTAAACAACATTATGGTGCTAGTATTACGATTAGAGAGTTTGTGGACCTAAGTGGCACCCCAAGACAAGTTCAAGGGCCCACAATGCATATTACTCAACATATAATAATCAACCTGAGACTAAACAACTGCAAATCTCATGAATGCCGCCGGTCCGCTGAGAAGCAGAGGTGTGCATCGGCGGGTAGGGTTGGCTCGAGGGCTCTAGGCGCCACAGGCCACAGCACCGGCCACCGGGGTGGGGAAGAGCGGGGGCAGGGCATCGTGTTGCTGCAGCTAGGCGCCATTGGGAAGGTCGGAAGGAACAGGGGCGACAGTCGGAGGAGTAGAAGAGCTAGGGGCGTCGGCTGGAGTGCCTCTCCTTGCGGCTGGGGAGGGGGGCGGGTCGGGTAGAGAGTGGGGGCTTCTCTAGGGTTCTGAACGAGGAGCAATATATAGCTCCAATTGGTATTGGGCTGGGTTGTGTGTTCCTTACTAGGGCCTTCCTATGTTTATTCGGTTTCTTTGGTTCTTTCGGTTAACCGAAGTCCAGGAACCAAACTAACCATCGAATTTTAGTTCATGAAAACTGAGAACCGAACAGCTACGGTTCATTCGATTCGGTTTTCGATTATTTTTGCCCAACGCAGTAGCCTGATAGCGAGCGGAAGATTCAATTTGGCTCACCGGAATCCTCTGGTGTTTAAATATCCCCTTTCCCTTTGTTATTGAAGTGCATTCTAACTATATTAAATCTTTTATGTGGATAGAAGTAATTTTAGTTATAATCATGAAATCAATTTTTTACTTCTATGGAAACATGCATGATAATTTTGTAAAGAGCACAACAGCATGACTCTTAATTTTTGAGACAGGATTATAGGCATATCCCTTCATTTCCAGAATGATAACTAACATATCAGGTAACGCATTGAATTTCAAAACCTGACTGAGGTCCTGGATACACTTATATATATCAGCGGGCTGAGAACCGCAGTAACATAGAAAACTTTTCGTGGGTGATAACTGAATTGTGAATTCTGAGAACTTAAAAAAAAACTTCTACAACCAGAATGCTATAGGAGAAAAGAAATTTGTATGCCTAGCTACTCGGTAGGAGACTGAGGTCTTGTGATTCGTGAAACGCAGCTCTCCCTTATTATTGTATTTGAGGCCAAACATAGTCAGATGGAGCACACAGCTATCATCATCACCCAAGAGGTACTTAGCTTTGGCTTCCTCGCACATGGCACTGCGGATGAGGCAAAATTTGCTTCTACCCATGTAGGTGAGAGAGGCCACCAAGTGCTTCTCAGTTTCCCTGCGAAACAATTTGTCCTCCACCAGTTGCCAATCCAATTCCACTGTGCCGAGCTCTATTGGAGTTTCGCTGCCGGTGTCAGAGGGAAGTTGGCAGCAACAAATATACCCATCCCAGCGAAGACCAACCCATGCATCTAGCTCGCTGTCAAAGTAACCTTCATCTCTGAAAGGTAGAGCCCAGGAATGCCACCTCCACACAGAATACTTAGTGTTGAAGGAGTAGGTGCTCTTCTGGAGACCTGGACGATCTCTGTAGGCTGTGGTCATGTAGATGGTGTGTCCATCTGAGTGCACAGCATATGATGTAATGGTCTCGTGGACGCTGAACAGCGGCGGCAATGCCGGGAGACTCCTCCAGAACCAGCCCACCTCAGCTGGACCGCGTGAGCCAGTCAGTGCGCATGACATCACATCAAAGGAGTGTTGTTCGTCATCATCAGAGGAGTGTTGTTCTTTACAAGCTGGAGGTGAAAATGCGTAGAACATTCCATGGGCAGCAACAACAGTACTGAAGCCACATTGCAGATGAGCAGGAATGGCAGGGCCAAGTGCCAGTGCCGCTGTCTCGGTGTCATAGATGAGGGCAGGGGTCTGTCCATAACGTGCATCAGTAACAATGAAGATCTTGTTTCCCATGGTGGCGAACAACATGTCCACGTCCCTTGGTGACTCTAACCGTAGTAGAGGAGGCTCGAGGAGGTGCCCTGCAACAGCAACCCTGGAGGAGTCCTGGTTGTCGTCGGAGTCAAAACTAGCAAGGTCAATCTTGTGGATGCTGTATCCCTTCTCCCAGTCATCCAAAACTAGATAGAGGTGCTTCCACCGTCTTGCTGGGCGTGATCTTTTGCAGGCCAAGTCTCCATTGCGGCGCTGGTTCTGATAGCCCTCCACCCGACGCTTAGGCATCTCTTTCCTCCAAATCGTAGTGCGGTAGATCTAAAGTTCCTGTTTTGGTTGCGGGTCGACGCCTCCCCTCCCTTTGTGTATCTGGATCTATCTACGGATGCAAAACAAGCCTTTTTAGAATAATTTATACAGCGCAGACAGCAGCATCACAGGTTGCAATCGAAGAGAAGTCGGATTCCGAAACTGAATTTATAACCACAGGTTGCAATCGAAGAGAAGTCGGATTCCGAAACTGAATTTAGAACCACGAGTCTGTTGTGTGTACCTGGCGCTGGCGGGCTGTCTCGGACCCGGAGAGGACACCGTAGATCCTTCCAAGCTGCTTGGCGGGGCGGCTGGATCGATCGATGAATGATGACACCAGATCGATCCAACCTGCTCAGCCTCAGCGGGGTTGCCGGATCGATTAATCAACTATGCCACCTCTTCTCCAAACCCTACCTGCAGTCCAGGCTGCAGCCCTTGGGACGGAGGTAGTTAAAGAGAGCACCATGTGCTATGTGAGGCTCTAAAACATTGTTGCCATTTAAAAAAAAAGTACAAACACCGGAGTTAATTGCAACTAATGAATAACTAATTATAATTCCAGTATAAATTAACCATAACTTAAGATACATATAAAAAATCAGGTGTTATTAGGACTTAGGAGGCCATAAATACTTGAATCTTCTTAGCTTAGATACTAAGCACACTTAAGCACAAATCTTAGCATAGTCTAAGACACCAACATTAGTGCTTAGCATACAGTAGCACTAGCTCAAAAAATTTATGGAGGCGCGGTCAATGGGCGCGCACCAAATTACTATAGCTAGACCAACACATCACCGTGTGGTAGCTATTGCTCACAAACTTTATTTTGAAAAAAGGAGAAGACTGAAAAAAGGTGCCCATTATCAGGCGTTAGTATTTCGCCTTTGTTTATAGACTTATAGTAATGCTGACAAGGCTTGTGGTAGAAGCAATAGGCTCTAAGAAGTCACTACCTCGAACAACGTCTGTATCAGATAGGGAACTTACAACATGTGTACCTTAAAAATCCAGTATTGAGCACCATCAGTTATATATTTTTTTTCTTGAATACATCAGTACCGTCAGTTATACGACACCAAAGCAATAGGCTAACTTTCATGTAGGCGTCAGCAGGTCTCTTGCTCTCTCACAATTGAAAACAAGAAATCTTCTAATCCATTCAAACAAGAGAAAAAAAAATGGAAGTTTCCTCAATCACTCCGAAATAAAACCATAGTATACAGACCATAGAGTAACAGAACCTAATTTCTTTGGTAGTCTGAGTTCAGGACCAGAGCCTTGGAAAGGGCATGTCAGGTGACACCCTTGCTCACTGACATGTGGGTCCAGGGGGCACATGGCAGCTGACCCAAAGTGACTAGTACCTCTTTTGTTTTAACTGCAGCAATCAGAGGTTGGGAGATCAATAATTATTATACACAAAACTATTCTAGTTCCTTCAATAGCTAAAGAAATCTGATTGATCTGGTCATTTTACAATGCTAAAAGAGTTACAAACTCGGCATTGCACTCTCCTCAGTCCTCAGGGTCGCCCTTGTGGAGCATATGCAGTATGTACAGAGAAGCTGACGACAAGAAGATGCAAATCGAGTAGCTGAGGAGGTCTAGCCCCGTGGCTATTGTCACCATCTTGCTCCTCTCGAACATCTTCACAAGCAGAATCATCACGATGACATGCCCCACTTTTGTCTTGAGCTCGTCAAGGGAGGTGATCTTCATCCACTTCGGGCGCTCCTGCATAAACAAAAGATTTATCGTATTGCTAAAGGAATTTTTCCGTACATGTGCCTTATTACTGTTTACCAAGTTTGAAGAAACAGTAGAAATGATGAGGGCAGTTCTCAAACCAGGAGTAGGAATCACTATGCGTTAATCTACAGTTGCTATGTTTTGTTTCACTAGCTGGTCGTCTGAATGTTTCACTAGTAGTGGAGTTAGTCTGAATTCAGCAGTAGACTGAAGAGTATGCATAATAAGCAATGGAATGGCATTCGAGATATGGTTCTGCATTTGTGTGTCCAACAAAAGCATAGGATACTGATAAATGATACCAAGCTATCAGCAAAACTTATAAACTATTTGGGACTATAAGTAGTCTAAAATTTTCAGTAGTAGTGGAGTAGTATGAACGAGTAATTCACTTGGCAGTAAATAGTGTACAAACTGTTGAATGAAATGAGCAGTTGAGTAAAAATGGATTTAATCTGATTTTTCAGAAGAAGCAACGAAGACATGACACATGAGTGCAAGTCCAATGTAAGCAACCAGAAGAGTGCTGAATATTGCTTGATAAATACTACAAAAGGTACCAACAGAACTTGCAAAATGTTTGATATTCGAAATTCCGACAGTTACCTTCAAAGCGAACATCCCGAACATCGACGATCCACTCAGCGCACGGTCGGATTCAGAAGGAACATCTGCGGACGCGTTGCTGATGAAGAGACCGTAAAGACCCATCCCAAATATCAACATGACTGTTCCAGCAAGATACACATCTGCAGAAGATTGTGCACAAGTGTACCACAAAACAACAGTTTAGCGAGATGGCACGGACAGATATGAATTATCGTAGCAAATAACATTGTTGACGATGCTAATTGACAGAACAGATTAGCTAGAAGAACATCTCACCGATGGCCTCTACGACTTTGAGGACCATCTGCCCCGTATGAATCCCCTTAACACAGCTCGACCAATAAACCTGGTATGCCTCTTTGATGAAGACACATCCCTGATCACAAGTAGACGTCAGATTACCAGATCCATGAACCTTGGTTTGGAGTGACAGTAGGAAAGCATTGGCGCCTAACAATGGCAATAAGTATGCATGATTGCTTGTGTGTGTCACATTTAAAATTCGAACAGATGCAAAAGTGGTTCTAAAACTTGTGGCCAAAAGACTGGCATGGTAACACAGTTCAACTAGTCATGTCAGTTTGCAGGAAAGCTCTGTCCATCGCGCACGGCCACGTAAACTATTTTCAGATTCCAGCCAGAATAACACTCGCTACTAGGAGAGAATGCCAATTTGAATTTGCTATCTTACATGACTGCGGGCATCGTCCAAGACCAGTACTGTGTGTTAGGTTAGAACCGGAGCAGCCATGGATGGGACGAAATCCAAGATCGCTTACATTGAGGAAGCACAGGATGGAGCCGGCGAGTGACCCGGCGACGGCGAGGAGTGCCAGGAACCGGAAATCGAAGATCACCTGCGGCGGTGGCGTCAGACCGGTAGAAGACCCTGGAGGCGAGCAGAAGGCGATGGAGCAGATAGATGGGGAGCAAGCGTACCCTCTCGACGGTGGTCTCGACGACGGTGGACTTGGTGGCGGGAGCGGGAGCGACGGCGTTGCCGTTGGGCCCGCCCACGATCCCGTAGCCGCGGACGTCCTGGGACGACGACGCCACCTCGCCGGACGGCGCGGAGGAGGCCGCCGCCGCCGCGGCGGCGGCGGCGGGAGCAGCCGGGACCCCGCCGGGGCCGCGTGGACGGCTGGCGCGGCGCAGCCGCGCAGCACCAGGAGCGCCATCGGGTTGCTTGCTGTGCTCTGCGCGCGCGCGCACGCACGCACGAGAGGCTAGGCGGTTGCCGCGGCGTGCGTGCGGTGCCGGTGCTGGCGCAGGTTCGATGCTCCGGCCTCCGGGTGGGCTGGATCGCTGGGACTTGGAGTGGAGCGAGAACGAGCGAGCGAGCGACGATCTGAAGGAGAGGTGGGCAGATATACCTGGTCTCGCGCGTCGTCGCTGTCGGGTACGTCCCCACTCGGCCACTCGGCAGTCCCGCAGTCCCGCTCCCACATGGTTTGTTTGTTCCAGTTGCAGCGCGTGGAGCACGAGCACCGGTGCCGCGAAGCACGACACGACGGTCAGACGGTGGTGTACTGGAGCTGGAGGAGCTAGCTGAAGAGGCGGGTCCGGACTCCGGAGTCTGGACGTACGAAAGCGAGATGATCAGATGAGACGCGACGACGACGACGAGACGACATCGCCGTGCGATAGTTTGGGCCAGCACACGCAGGGTGTGTTTGGTTGGTTTACTACAGAGCAAAGTGCATGGCCGGCCATTAAACTCGTTAGGGTGTGTTAAGCCGGTTCATGAACTCTGTTCATAATCTCTGTTTTTGTGTCATTTAGGCCCAATCCGCTGTTGGCCCAGTAAACGCCGTCAGGTCTTATTGCAATTAGCCTCCTCCAATCAGTTTCCAGGTATCAAATTGGGACAACAGGAAAAATCCCCACACGACGCCGTCGCTGCGGTCGCTCCCCGCGGCCACCACAACGGCGCTGACGCCCCCTCCCCGGCCACCACGACGGTGCAGGCGCCCCTCCCCGTCCACGACACCGCTGCCGTCGGCCCCTCCCCACCCACCACGCCATTGCCGCCGCCCCAACCTGCTTCAATGGCTGCCTCCGGTGAGTAGGCGCAAGAGACCCTGTCCTGCTGGTGAAGCAAAATGTCAGTGCTTCCTGTATGTCGATTTGTTGAAGGATGACAGTGAAGAAGCAGTTCAATTCAATGTTCTCAGGAGAGGTCAAGCAACTAGAGGCAAAGGAGGCACCAGAAGAAGCTAGATGAAGGAGCTGGACACATCTCTGAAAATGTTACTGCTGTAGTTGAAATTGGAAGAGAGTGTGCTGTTATGATCTGTGTAGGAGATGTATTTGTTTCCTGTAGGATGTAAAAAGGTTACATGTAACTGTTGAATGGTTCAACGAATGAAATGTGCTCTTTTTGAAATTTCAGCAGCAATTTGTAACTGACAGATATTGCATTTCAGCAACAGTTGTAATTGACAGATATTGCATTTCAGAAAATTTTCATGTGTCATGTCCCACAGTCCCACTGTTGGTTTGTTCTAGTTCCAGCGCGTGGAGCACGAGCATTGGTAAGGGACTAAGGATGGATTCGGATCGGATCCGGACGGTGTACAGGAAGGACTACAGATGCGGTCCCGCTGACAGAGAACGCGCGCACAGGAACAGCCCATCGAAATCCACGGCGTGTGTGGGGTGTGATGTGCTGTGGCCAGCACTGAGATGATCAGCAAATTTCAATTGGTTTCTGCCGAAAAGTCACTCCACAATGTTTACAAAAAATATCAAATTATGATGCCAGTTTCTCTAATGAAACCCAGTGACTTTATTGCACGGTGTTATATGCGTAGAGGCATCAATACACAGAACCTCCAAGGGGAATAACTATTCTGGACAACAAATCCGTGTATAAGATCTGCGACAACATCCTATATAATATTTGCCAAAGCTACCTATCTAGTTATCCTAGAAAGTATGTACTGGTGCATATCAATACACAGAACCTCCAAGGGGAATAAGTGATAAAGAACATCAATCTATCTCTATGCTCTGTGCATATCAATGACAACTGCCATTCGGACTTTCACTCCATGGTTGATTCAAGGTTCAGCTTTCCGAGCTGGGCGGCGTCAAACATTGCTTCCTGGAAGTCCGCAAGCAGATCTGGAGAGTCAACCTCAATGATTAGAGTAAGCACTGCTTCGTGGAATCGGCAGGGGTGTTGCCAACAGTTCCGGATGAGCTTCAAAACACCCTTGATATCATCATCATAGGTTGCCTCCTTTCCGGAATATGGATCCCGGTATGTTCTGGCCTTTTCGACCAATGCATTAATGCAGAGTGTGTCTGTTTCGTCGTCCATCCATCGTACTGCGGCAACCAACTGATGATGAGCTCATACAGACTTGGATTCTGGTACTCCAACTCGAGGAATATCATGTACAGCTACATATGGCTGGTAATTGCTTGACGGTGCTCCATCATAGAGGTGTGATAGCATATAACGTACTCATATCCCCGCCTTCCTTGGTTGATGAGCTTTAACCATCGAATGACTTCAAGAGGAGTAGGCTCCCTGTCATATACCTCATCAAAGGTCATCCTGACAAACTGATAATAGTCTTCATCTGCATCCTCTGTATCGGTCAACTCTACGAGATGAACATTGTGGAGCCTGACTTGCGAGTGATCATCAATCATAAAGTTCTCTGCAGTAAATTTACCGCTCATACAGAATCCAGCCCTATGACAAGCCACCAACGCTCTGAAGGCACGCCTCAGCACCTTCTTGCTCTGGACAGTTCCTCGGCGCCGTTTCAATGATTTACATCCTGGTACCTCAGTACTTTCATTCAGATCATGAGTCAGAGCATAATGTCGAAGTATCTGACACTGATGGTTGTTAAGAGGGCAGTGAATGAAATCGTGCCACGGCCTATCGCCCATCTGAATCTGAAAAAGAAAAAGGCAAAAATAAATCAGATGTACGAAGAGGATGATGCGCTTATATTATAGGGAGATGCTGTACTACAGGCACCGCACAGTGACAAATCACTTCTGATCAAGCAATGAGAAAGAGTTCGCATGTTGGTCACTTCATGCAAATGCAGGAATGGTTGGATCGGAATTAACCAGCCGCATGTGGAGGTAAGTCATAAAGTCAGAGAATCAGAGTCCTATGTGCCCACAGCTTGTTAGTGATACTGAATTCCGATCACATTCAGTGTTATCTACAGTCATGTGTATTACTGTGATACTTGTTATGGAGTAAACCTTCTACTTCGTAATGATGCTTATTGAGTAAACCTTCTACTTCGTAATGATGTTGAAGATAATAACAGTAAAATCTGTCAATATATGGAGTAAGTTCCGATTCCCATCACCTTAAGAACTAATGTAAACCAGCGGCCTCAAGAACTCCATACCCCCCAACGCATCAGGGATCGATTAACATTTCAATCAGTTGAAATACAGGAGGAAAGTGCAGAACAGAGAATTTTGGAAAATCCAGCAAGAAAATCGAAACAAGATTTTGGGAAACCTGAAAGAACTTACCACTGCGTGAGGAGGATCGGTGTGAACCTCCATCAGGTGGAGGGAAGCGCGGTACTGCTTGATGGTGTGGCGTACTGAAGAAAATCTGGCGCGGCGAGGATCGGTGCGCGGTAAGTCTGGGCTGTCCCCTCAACGATGACGGCCGGGGGCGGATGAGAGTTCTTGCCCCCGGAAGCGTGTGCGGCGGCGGCGGCTCCAAGGGAACTCCAAGGAACACGAGTGCGAAGCGATGCCGGCAAGCCGGGCTTCTCGCCGCGACGCAGCGGAGGCGGTGAGGCGTTCTTGGTCGACACGACCCTCCTCTCCTTCGATGGCGGAAGGAAGGAGAGTCCTTTGTCCCGCCCGGAAGAGTGTCGCAGCGGCGGCGGTTCTAAGGGAGCTCCAGCAGGACGAGTGCGAAGCGTCTCCGGCACGCCGGGCTCGCCGCGATGTAGAGGAGGCGGTGAGGCGGCGTTCTTGGCCGGCACCACGCTCCTCTCCGATGGCGGCGGGAGGGAGAGTCCTTTGCCCCGGAAGAATGTTGCGGCGGCGGCGGCTCAAGAGAGCTCCGGGAGAGTGAGAAGCGACTCCGGGGCGTTCTTGCCGCGGCGATTCTTCCCGGCGCGAACGGAGATGGTCGACGCCTGGACGGCAAGGGTGACCTCTTGCTCTCGGCCTGGGCAAGAGCGGGAGACGAAATTCTGTTGTGGATTTAGTGCCGGTTTAGTTTCCAAAATTTTGCAAAATTTTTCAAGATTCTCCATCGCATCGAATCTTTGAATGAATGTATGAAGCATTAAATATAAATAAAAAATAAAACTAATTACATAGTTTAGACGAAATTCATGAGACGAATCTTTTAAACATAATTAGACTATGATTAAACACTAATTACCAAATAACAACGAATGTGCTACAGTACGGTCCAGGCCTCGGCCAGCGGCAAAGTTTTGAGTAGTTCCCACCGGGGCCCCCGATTAATCAATTCTACTGTATTTCCCCCATTCAAAAAATATAAATAACTTTGGTAGCTTTTACCGTGAGGCGTTGACGTATTGGACCGCAACAATTACAGTTTTTTACACCAGCAACTGTTTTACTAGTTTTTCACCTGTTCGTTGATTGGTTTCTAAACTGATTCTGGCTGATGCTGATTTGTTGTGAGAGAAAAACACTGCTGAATAAGCGCTGAATCGAAAAGTGAACAGGCTGTTTGAGAAATTTCAGTATTTGACGTCAAATAGGTAGCCTCCTAACTTTTAACACTCATTTCGTGTGTCTTTAGATATTTAACCATAATATGGCTGCGAATTGTTTTGATTCAAATGATTTCCTTCTCTTTTTCTTTTTTTCTAGCACTTCCGTGCACAAAATAATATAATTCTCACTTTTTGAGGAGTCAAACAATTTGAACTTTGACTAAATTTATATAAAAAGTACTAACAAACATAATACAAAATAGTTATCATTATATTAGTTAGATAATATATTTTCATAATATGTTTAGAGACAAAAATAATAATACTATTTACTATATACTTGGTCAAAGTTGAACTTATATGTGGACAGAGAGTATTTTCTTTTGTATCTTCGGTTTTTCTAGGCCACCTAAACTGATGAAAATGCCCTTAGCCTAATAACCCATATCAATCAGTCCAGTCGTCCACTCGCTCGTGATGCA